CTTGAGATTGAATAATATGTACAGTAGCTTAGTGTATTCTGCAATCAGCCTCGTTTCTGTCAGCTTAACATTATATTAAAGAAATGATAAATTATGATGGCTTAGAGCAATGTTTTGTGTCAAATTTTTGCATTTTGTGGCCGCACAGTAATAAGTGTGATAAAAAGTGGACATTTGTTTTCACATAAAAAAAAGCCCTTCAGTCAATAAGCCTGCCTTTGCACACAGGTCGGAAATTTTCATGTTTTTTTTTTTTAAATATTCAGATCCAAAAAATTTGTCACGCACACAAACCTTGAATATCAGGTCTAATGCATATTAATTTAATCTGTGAAAGATTTTGCTAAGTTGTTTTTAATATGCACATAATTTTTATAATAAATGCTTTAAGAACTTGCTTGCCTGTGCACATCAAACTACCTCTTGCACTGCATTTCGTTCTCTTCCACAGTCCATCTGAGGTCTCAGCCAATAGGAAGCCTGCATACCTTCTGTGCCTGAAGTCCCGCAGGGCCATTAACTGATGTGTGATAGTATTACGACAGAAGAACAGTATTCCACAGCGATCATTTGAAAGAAGACTTGGAAAGGAAGTGTGTGTGGGTTACAGAGAGAGAAAACGCCAAGCTCCTTTGGTGTTACTTCAGAAGAATGATGACATCTTCAAATCATCTGATGCATTTAAGATGATGTAAGTACACACTTACAGCGCTTCTGGCACAAGTGAAACATTCCAGAACGGACTCGACTGAACGCTTGTGCTAGAGCAGGATGAAGAAATCAATCATTTAAACAGATTTATAGATGTACACAGGTCTTTATATCATTTTACGCGACAACTCAAAACTACACGCAAGATAACATCACTTTTAGTTTAGTAGCAGCATATTCATTTAGCCATATAAATACACAGCGGCTGTAATAAAACTTCTATATGGTCTGCATTCATTACTGTGGAAACTGCAAATAAATAAGCTACTGTGGCTTTTTACATATCCAGTCAGGAGGGGGATACAAATGGATGCCTGCTTGCCAAGCAAAAGTAAATAAAGCCTTCGCCGAGCCTGTATGTAAATTTGAAAACTGCAGGAATGATGCCCTCACATCCATGTCTGAGAAACCCTACTGGGACGAAGAGCTCAGCTAAAGGACCATAAATAAATGACATCCTTAAAAGTAAACATGACTGTAAATGCATTTATAAATAATTGAAGAGATAATCTCCTGAAAACATAAACAGAATATGAAGTTATTGTAGAGAATTATATACTGTATGACAGTCTAAATGAATGTAGGGGTGTGCAACATTTATCGTGTACAGTCATATCATAATTGTTGCTTTAACCATGTTTAAGCTGACACTGAGTATGTTACGCACTTGTAAACAACAAACAATAACAAAGCTTGAGAGTCCACGACATCCCATAATGCCTCGTAATTCAACTTATGAAAGAAAAATGGGTTTTTGATATAGAGTTTAAGGCTGTATGATTGAGCCCTCTTGTAAAATATTAAAGAGCCCCTATTATGGGTTTTTGAGAATTACCTTCCATGTAGTGTGTAACACAGCTCTAAGTGAAGTAAAATATCCTGCTAAGGCTTAAATCTGAAAGTGCACAGTGTTTAAAACTATTGATTCATTTATAAAAGAGTTGACTCATTGTGCTTTAAATTAATCGTCTTGATAACGAGTCTTTAGCCGTTTTGGTGTTACGTAGATACAAAACTTAAGCCCTGCCCAATTGCTGCGCACAAACCCGGGAAAATTGAAACCCGCGGCCCCGCCCACAAACAGTAGCAAAGAAAAATAGGAAGACAAGCATTGTAGCAGACGCCGGTTGCATCAAGTCATGAAGTCATTATAATATGACAAGTCATTATAGTCCAGACTTGTGTTGTTCGAGTGCTTCTGGAATCTACACAGTTACAAAAGGGGGATTTGTCGGCCGTTTGAATGGATCAGAAATTGATATATTGATATGTTGATATATGGAACTTTATCAAAGCTTGACAGGAACTTTATCAGTACATGGATCTGTGGATCATGGATCAGTTTCTTTCTCCATTTCACAAGTGTAAGAAACTGCATTACCATGGTTCCCTCCTTGTTTTCTCTAGCTTGCAAATTATGTATTTAATTGTGTTTTGTTACTTGTAACCGCTTGTACCGTATCTGGGTAACTCTTTTTATTCTCATATCGTGTCTAATGCAACGTTGAAGCGTGCCGCTTTGTTTACGGATTTCAATGTGTTTTTGAGCTCACATTCCACTACCATTTGTCAATGCTATGGCCACCGTCAGCTGTTCTTACATACGTGCAGTGGTCAAGGTTCAAAATAGTTCAGCTTTTGCCACTGTGTCGAATAATACTGAATGTGTGTCACTGTTTACTTACGGTTAAGAATAGAGCAAGATGCAGGTAATAAACTGCATTGGGTTCACACAAATTATGGGAGTTTTCCGGGATAAAAAAACAAAATGGTGGCTGGAAATCTGATAATACGGAGGTCTGAAATATGGGAGACTCCCAGGAAAAACAGGATTGTTGGCAGGTATGCTCACACATACACTCTGCACTCTGACTACCAAAATTGTTGATAAGCCGTGCTGGGCATTCTCGCGCTGAACGTTGTCGACCAATCGCAAAAGGCTGCCATCGTCCAATCAGCGCAAATTAGCTTAGCGCTAAGGAGGGGTTTGGGACCAAATGAATCACTGAATGATTCATATAGGAGTCGCTGGGATAATGAGGTAAAAATAAATGCACATAATAAGACATTGAAAGTGTTTTTGACCTTGTATGAATATCAGCCTGTTGTTGGAGATCCTTATATCAAAAATTTTAATCCTTTTTAATGAATTATAAGGGCTCTGTAATTCTTTTTAAAATATTTCCCAATTGATGTTTAATAAGCTAACAAACTTTTATAGTACTTTCTATAATATTTTTCTTTTCTTTTGAAGAAAATCTTATTTTGTTTAGACTGGCTGGAATAACACTTTACACTTGTTTTATTTTTGGTAAGGTCAATATTATTAGACCACTTTTTTTATTGACTACAGAGCAAACCATTATTGTCCAATGACTTGCCTAATTAACCTAACTTGCCTAGTTAAAGTTGCAGTATGTAAGATTGTAAGATTGGTTGAACGAGGTATTGCACGTCTGGTTCAAAACACAGGCAAACGCAGGTTGCCAGATTAACGACATCGACAGAAGTGTGCCAAACTGTCGAGCCTAAAGGATGATTTAAGGTAGATTTGAGTTGTGTTATAAATAAAAGCAACAGTACGTGACATAAGGAACATTTTCCATATTAAAAGGAGTTTTTGTTCTACCCAACACCTGAAATTTATATTTTAGAAAGGGCTTATTTCTTGCAGCTGAACAGAAGAAAACTGGCAATGTTCATCTCAGGTACACCTCAGGTGCTTTATTCAGTGTTAAATGTTAATAATGTAAGTTTAAATGCCATTTTACATATTTTTTGCCATACTACTGAAAGCAGCAGCAGCAGATAGTTCACCTTAGATCTTGAAAATAAAATATAAAATTTGAAATTAAACTGAAATAATGCAAGCCAACAACTATCAGTGATTCACAATGTACATTTAATAATGGTTAAAAAGGGTTAATATGTATTATTTAGACTATAAACCTTACCACTACATTGGAGTGCAGTAAGTGCACTATTCTGTGCTTCTGAATGGCTGTATTTAAATTTCATAATTTTTCATTTAGTGCAAACAGCCAAATTGCTTATAACTACAAGTCTCGTCACATAGCGTGTTGTTATGACACAGGGTTACAATGTAACCTGCTCACCTAATGTTTAAGTTTGCGACATTTATATTATTTGCTAATTAATAACCACCTCATGTGGAACTCTAAATCTGCATCTTATTTCGAGTCTGCTACTTTTACAGATGCACACTTTGCATTTTATGTTTAAAAATGTGCTGAAAAAAATCTCTTTGTTAACAGTGCTAATAGAAGAGGTATTTAAAAATCTAATCTAAATAATTTGAGATATGATATTGATATTATACAACAATTCAAAAAGAAATAAGTTATTATCAAGTGTGTTATATTTTAGACATAATATGACTGTTTGTCTTTTCATTCACTAATAAAAATTGTTGCAAACAAAGCCAGAGAAGTACATGAGTGTGTCTAAGAGCAACACTGATGTTTTATTTCTGAATTAATGCATTTAGAAAGCAAGCCAATGATTAAATCCTTTCGTAAGGACAGTTAATTGTTCCTTTTCTAATAAAATGAGGCATTTTGATTGCACCATATTCACCATTTTATATAAAAAACCAAAAAACCACAGTTTTAGCTAAAAAATAAATAAATAAATAAATAAAAAATCTTTAATGTTCTACTGAAAAAAACTATTTTTATTTTACGAGTTAGTAAAGGTTCAACACTCCCTCCTAGAACAAATCCAACTTTAATCCATTATTGAGAGAGTCAGATGAAGGACTGGATAATGGTCAAAAATCACATGTTTTAACCAAACTGTTTAATTTCTTTAAGAGTGAGTGACAGACCTTTTCAAATTGACAAGTTTTTTGTTTGTTTGGTTGTTGGGTTGGTTGGTTCACACCTCAACATTTACCAGTAAAGCTTCTTTTTATAGTGCTTTTTCCTTCATTTTTTGGTAAAAAAATTATACTTTAGGTTAAAAAAATTACTTCCGCTTTAATTTACGTAAAATTATGCTTATTCAAGAACACACCAATTTTGAAGAGACTGAGCAAAACACATTATGTAAATGTCTGGAATCAGGGATCAGATAAATGAAAAAAAGTTTTCAATCAAATCCAAACTTGTAAGAAAATCTTTAATTGAACCAAAAGCCTATCAATGAATAATCAGATTGATTCAATCTCTACTCAAAGGCAGGCACCCTTAATTGCTTCACATTAAAGGACAGTGGGGTTATGGCGGGTGAGGGCAAGAGTTACTTGCTATGAAATCTCCAGAACTAACCTCAATGAGTTTCCGCTCATAGTTAGACGCCAGTTCTTCTATATCAGCCATAGACCGGCTTTGGGGGGCAGGAGGCAGACCTTCACAATTCCTCTGATTGGTTAATGCTGGAAATAGAATGTAACACATTAGACAAAGCATTTATATTTTCCATAAGTTTTACAAATATACATTTAAAACCTTTTAACCAGTTAACTGTAAGTGACCTGTAGAAAGTGATTAGCTGACTTTTGAAAAGAAAAAAAGTGAACAAGCCTGTAGCTTTTAAAGTAATTGGTTGATTTGACTTTTTTTTAAGTGACCAGTCACCTTAAAATGATCAACTGTTAAAAAATAAACCTGTTAAAACACATTTTAGTCGGTTTTTAACCATTTTATATTTTGTTGTTTTTATTTCTTATACTTGTTTCTTTTATTCTTGTTTTTGTAAAGCACTTTGAATTATCTTTGTGTATAAAATGTGCTACAGTATATAAATAAACTTGCCATGCCTTTATTATTAAATTATTAATTAACTATCCGAAAGTATAGCTTCAATTCTTCAGTTTAAATTCAAATACAAAAAAAAATTGAGAAATTTTATGCTTTTCATATGCTTTTCTAAAGATGAATCTATTTTCTCTTATCCCAGACAGACAAATAAATAGAAGCAATATGTAAAGTAACTGAAAGGTGTTCATCATGAATTGGTCTCATTCACTAATGACTGTATTTCTTAAAAATAAAAAAACTCCTCATGTACGGAAATGGATTTACATTTAGTTTCATTATTAAGTTCATAAATCGGATTTTTTTTTTAACGAATAACCTTGTGCACAAAATGAGTCGTTTGCATAAAATATGCCAAAACCAAATCCACGCAAGAGCATTTCTTTCCAGCCATTCAGTACTCTGGTAAGACATATGGCAGTCTCTATAGAGATATGCTCTCATCAAATCCTTGAGCAAGGACAAGTGTGTCATTCTCAAAACCAATATATACAAACCCAGATTAGCTCTCATTTAGAGCAAAGAATATACTTCAGTTTTAATGTGCACATACTGATTGCAAACCATCCACTATTTTTAAATCATGTCTACAAGCTCACAT